CCGCAGCATGTGGTTCCAATTTGGGAGGTTGATGCACCCACCATGGAGAAATTTCTGCAAGAGTTGGCCAAGGATAAGCCGGTGAGATTCACTGCTCAGCAGCTCTGTGACTTTACAAGCAATTACTCGACCAGGTTGGGGTCTGGAGGATTTGGGGATGTTTACAGAGGGCAGTTTCCCAACGGAGTGAAAATTGCAGTGAAAGTGCTGAAGAAAGGTTCCGAGGGAGCAGCAGGGGAGCAGTTCATGGCAGAGGTAGGCACAATTGGAAAAACATACCACATTAATTTGGTTAGACTTTATGGTTTTTGCTATGATCAATATATGAGTGCGCTTGTATATGAATTCATGGAAAATGGATCGCTTGATAAATACTTGTTTGGGGAGAAGCAGATGATTGGGTGGGAAAAATTACATGAAATAGCAGTAGGGACAGCCAAAGGGATTGCTTACTTGCACGAAGAATGTCAACAGAGAATCATTCACTATGATATAAAGCCTGGAAATGTGCTGCTTGATGAAAACTTCTTCCCTAAAGTTGCTGACTTTGGGCTTGCAAAGCTCTGCAACAGAGATAGCACTCACGTTTCAGTCATTGGATGCAGGGGAACCCCTGGTTATTGGGCCCCAGAGTTCTCACTTAGGAATCATCCCATAACATACAAATGTGATGTGTATAGTTTTGGAATGGTTTTGTTTGAGATAGTTGGGAGGAGGAAAAACACAGTTTCTAGTCCCTCCGAGAGCCTTGATTGGTTTCCAAAGCATGTGTGGGAAAAGTATGAGAAGGGGGAATTGACTGAAATGATAGTAGATTGTGGGATTGAAGAGAAGGATAGGGAAAAAGCAGAGAGAATGTCCATGGTAGCATTGTGGTGTGCTCAAGACTCACCAGAGGCTAGGCCACCAATGAGTGTGGTGGTGAAGATGATGGAAGGAGGAGTGGAGATCAAGCCACCTCCTAAACCTTTTCGTTATCTATTCTCAGTAGGGATGAATGCAGTCAAGCCAACTGCTGGTTCGAGTTTCTCCTCAAGTGAAGAATCCGATTCTTATTGGTATAAAGAGACTACACCCGTCATGACCAAGTATGAAATCCAAATAGCCAGTAGTTAAGAATACTAGTAAAATCTAGTTTTTAGAAAGTGTATGTTTTAGTATATTTATTTATTAATTTATTTTTTGGAGCAGTAAAGATGATTTATTAGTGTCCAGAGTAAAAGGGTTGATTGGTTGTTTTGATGTGGTGCATTATGAAGTTTCTCATTTGTTGTCTAGCTCAAAAGATTCCAAATTTCATTTAATTTCTTGATAAAATGATACAGAAGATAAAGCTACAACCTCCAAGATCTCATGTTCTGATGGCCTAGGTTGTTGCCTATGTGTAATTCAGTATAATTCGATCATACCAGGAATCAAAGATAAATATTTTCTTCAACTTAGTTTGTCCATTCCAATTAGTCTACTTGTGGAAAGGCATTCCTTTATCTAGACGTGTAAGGAACAGTCTGTATTACACGTGCATGTTGTTTTTTTTAAGGAAATGTGCTCGATTTTAGGAATCACCTGGTCATTGTATATCTGTTGCAATTGTTTGTGTCCTTACTCGGACAAGTCGGCCGCAGCATGCGGTTCAATTTCGGGAGGTTGTTGCACGTGCAGAACCTCTGTGCCTTTACCAGCAATTAATCTACCAGGTTGGGGTCTGGAGCATCTGGGGTTGTTTATAGAGGGCAGTTCCCCAATGGAGTCAAGATTGCAGCGAAGGTGGTCGAGAAAAGGTCCAAAAGAGTAGCAATGAAGGAGGATGCAATGAAACTTTGAAATTGCAGTGGTGCCAATCGGACTTGTAATGAAGTCTTTCCTTTGAATACTCATTGAATTCCATCTTACATGCGTTGCAAGTTAACCCCGACATTCTTTCTAATTCGTCTTCCAATTAAATCTTAAAAAATTGCCTAAATAGATAGAAACTTACTATTTACATTATAAATTACAAATGTATTTAATAATACAATGTGTCATATTATTTGAATGAGTAATTATGATTAAGCAAGTTAACTTAATATTACTATGATTTGGAGCATGACAGATCTTATTGATGATTGTCATAGGTCTTACTAGATTTGGTGTTTTTTGCAATTATCTCCTATTCATTTAGTGGTGTTTAACTTTAATGGAGATTAGGGCAAAAAAAAAAAAAAAAAAAATTTACCAACGAGGGGTTGGATCAAGTGGCAAATGGTTTGTTCCAGCTTAAATAAGGTCTCGAGTTCAAAACCTTGTGCACACAGCAGCCTTCGTTGGGAGACCCACCTACTATTCTGGTGCGCCACAGCTGGTTGAGTCTAGAGTAGTTGGGACGAAACCCCAGATACTGGGCGAGAAACCAAAAAGATTAGGGAAAAATTTTAGGAGAAATCATAGAGGAAGTTTAGCAAGTGGGTGAGGTGGCAAACAAGTAGCGAGTTCTAGAGAAGGTTTTGACTAGTTCTATTATTGAGTTATCTAATTACCCTAGAAAGTTTACTATGTTTTTCACAAATGAAAATGGGTGGTAGATGGAAGTAGTTGGTTATTATCTACTTTAAGACATAAAAGAGAAAATTCAAAATAAATAAAATAGAATCAACCTTATGTATAACTTAACAAATTTAGCTTTCTCGTTTCTTATGTACTATTCACACAACTCACATTTTAGTTTTTATACAACTTTCAGTCGAATTTAAGTTAATTTTAGTTTTTACATTAATCTATTTTTTATTTAATGATTTTAAAATAAGTGTAATTTTCTCAAATGTCAACTAATATGGCTTTCCAACCTCCCCCTTTGCTAAAATCCACAAAGCAGCTTAAAGATTTTTCTTAGATCCAGACTTTGCATTTAAAGGTAACCATGCATTTTAGAATGGAGACGCATGAATAATTTTTCTACACGTAATCTAGCTGATCTCGTCAACGCATGAATGGAGACGAAGCTTCCTCTTCAATGTATGCTTTCTTAAGTTCATCTATATATCACTACAAGAAAATCTATATTTAGTCACCTAACAACTCATATTATATTCTCATACTACTTTATTAGTTGTGTTATGTTGGTGGACATTACATTCAATTTTTGATAGAGTATTTTTTGTTTCCTCTTAGAGTAATGTTTTATTTCTTATTTGTGTCATATCTAATATTTTATATTTATTTTTTATATTATAAGTTTTAAATTAGTTTCAATTTAGAAATACACTCCTTGATATTTAATATTTTGGTAGTAATATTCTAATTTAATATTTTAGTTCAAAAAAGATTTGAAATTGTCTACAAAACTTAACTTTTACACAAAAAAATGTTTTTGTTTTACAATTTGAAAATCTTTGGCAAAAACTATTCTTAAGCCCCCAAGGTTATCCAAAAATAGCATTGAAGCCCTCAAACTCCACTAATAATGCAAATAAGCTCTTCTAATTCATGGGTGCCATGCTTTCAAGGTGATATTTAACATAAAATACTATTTGACCCATTTGTGGAAAGAGTTTATTTGCATTGTTAGTGGAGTTGGAGGGCTTATTTGCTTCATTTTTAGTTTGGAGGCTTAAATACTATTTTGGAGTAAGTTTGGGGGTTTAAGAAGGAGTTTTGCCAAAATCTCTTATAAGTGTGTTGTTGGAAGGGAGAGAAGTGATGGATTTGTCAACCAATTAAATTGTAATATTTAAAAATGTTATAATTTGATTGGTTATAAAACATATTTTTTTTGTCAATGACCTACATAGATCAGTGGTAATTTTTTTTCAGTGGAAATAAGAGTTTTGGAGTTCGAATCATATGGCATGTAAAAGGATAAAATAGGAGTTGCCTCTCATTTTATGGGAAGAGAGTTGCTTAAAAGAAAAAAATCTCATTTGTTCTCTTTCATCTGTTTCTTTCAAACTAAATATACTATTTTAAGGTAGCAATTTCCTTTTTCTCTCATGGGACTCTATTTAATGCATCCTTAATAATACAATAATTTTTTTTATAAATTATTGTAAATTGGGTTCAACCAATACTCTAACAAATTTCTATGTATTTACTTAATTTATCATTCAAGGGAGAGGAAAGGAAGAAAAACTCCTCTATTTGGATAATAAAAAATTGGAAGGGAAATGAGGGGAAGAGAGGGGTTTTTCCTTCTTTTATTATTATTATTATTATTTTATATTTTAGTCTAATCAAACAAGTGGAGGGAACTTTGTCTCCCTTAAATCAAACAAGAGGTAAGTGCATGGATGATTCTCTTATGTCAAAATTTTTTGGATTGCTTTGTTTTTATTCATTATTTAGGAAATTTAATAACAAAAAAATAACAAGTTTTATAAGAATTCTTATTTTAAGATTTTAAGTAACTTTATATTATTATTTATAAAACTATTAAATTTTAGTCAATTTTTCTTATTCAGTCTGATTTATCTAATAGGTAATTTTGTATGTTTTACTGGTATAAACCTTCTTTATATTTTATTAAACAATAATATTAGGGGCTACCTTTCTCAAACTTATTGGCAAAGGAGAGATTTTCAAATATCGTAATGACAATTAGATTATGGGGTTTGTCAAAAATATAGGCATTACTAATAAAATAAGTGTTAAACTTTAAAATATAGAGAATAGCCTCCAAGTTTATTGTTATTAAGGGATTTTCTAAAATTAACATTGAGTTTAACTCTTTTTATACCATTCAATTATTGTTTGCCAATATCTCTAACGTTTTGAATTGTAGAGAACTCATGATGAATTTTGTTCTTACTCAACATTGCAGCATGTCAATAGTGATAACCATATGTGTAGTAACCAATTTCTGAAGATGAGAATATCACCTTTTTTAACTTTTGTCATTTTTAATAGATGTTCATTTCATGTGGTTGCATTTTATCTTACTTATGTACTAGGAGTTCACTTTCTAAAACAACTCTAATGAATTCTCCTTTTTTGTAGTAATATAATTTATTATTTTTTCTCAAAATGAAGAAGAAGAAAAAAAAACTAATAACTTCTTCTTTTTTAAGATATTAGTATTTTTCATTTCTATTTCAAATGTTTAATTAATAATATGTTTAGGTTGAGGCGAAAGGAAAAATTTTTTACCAATCAAATTGCAATATTTAAAAAACATTACAATTTGATTTATCAAAAAATCTTCCCTCCCTTCCTAAAATGACTTAAGTCGAAATCTGTCACTAAATTAACAATTCTTTAAAACAAAGTTCATAGGCCCTCAAAAATTCAAACTTAAATTATTAATAGTGGTTAATTTTCATAATTATATACCAAGTTTACTTACAAGTCCCCATCGATATCATATTCAAGATGTTACATCTACATTTACCTCCACCCAAACATATTATAATTTTTTTTTTGATATTATAGAAATGCTTTTATTTGTATAAAAAAGAAAGTAGTATTCTAAATTAATGTGTGAAAATAAGTATAAGTATAAATGAAAATTTTTTATAATTTTTTAATTAAAAACATTAATACATATTAAAAAATTACCCAAATATATTTTACATTAATTTTTAATTTATATTTAA